TTATACGGTCCATACTAAATCATGTTAAAAAGATAATGAAATAAAAAACAAGCAAATAAGTTTTAATTTTGTAGATCTACCATTGCACTCTGGCTAGATATGTGTGAGGGCGGTCTTATCGATGTCACTCAGGGCTTCACTGGTATCACCAATTTTTTTACTCCAGGGGGGTCTGGGAGAGGGGGGCCGGGGGGGCTGGAGTAATCAGGGGTGAAACTCACTCCATTGAGTTTCAAATCCTTATGTGTCTAGCGGGTTTCGAACACGAGACCTCCCACTAGGCACGATAACCTCACAACCAGCTGGACTAGAATGCTTGGTTCTGGTATCACCATTTCAAACCATTAGTTCTCCAACCAAAACAATGTGATGTTGCTACTTGCTAGCTAGCTTCAGGTATACGGCAACGAAGACGATGCCAATATCCAGGTGACCATTGGGTTTAATAGGTTTGGTACGTGGAAAGTTTGGGTCAGGGGATGCGGGATGCCGCGGTAGAGGGGAGTGTTGTACGTGTATTATTCATTCTCAATATAAGTTAATAATAATATTAAATTGTTTAATTTACTTTATTCAGATGGTTTATTCAACATACAAAATAAACAGCTTCATATATAAACATCACTTAATCTAAACGGATGTCTTAATAAATACAGACGTCTTAATCCAAACTTAATAGGGGAAAAAGTAAACAACCCCTTAATCATTCTTTGAATAAGAAAGTAAGCTGGAATAATGTGGCTTTAAAATTGGACATGATAAAAGCTTTTGACCGGGTTTCCTAGATTTTTCTCAAATCCCTTCTCACTAAGTATTATGGGTAGCTTGCAATCAACCTATCTATCTGTTTTAGTCAATGGCCGGTCTTTTGGCTTTTTCGGACCTACGGGTTAAATAGGGGAGTCCATTATCAATGGGGAGCAGGGGACCTGGATAAGCGGTAATTGGGTAGGCTAGTAACAAGAGCATAAATGTACTCTCATAAGTTCGTTGGTTTCCTTTAAATGAATTTTGTTTGATGATAGATTCCGTAATGTTCTTTGTTATGAAGTAGGAATCGGTCCATGTAAATTTCGACGTGCTTTAGTACATGGGTAAGGCTGCATACATCCAACCCCTTTACTCCACGCACCGTAGGCCGGAGCTTTTGGGGCACTAGGGTAATGATAATAATGATAGATTTCGTAATGCTTATGTTATGTGCTTTGAGATATGTAATTTGTTATCCATTAAATTTGATCTCAGAGCTTATTACGTCTTCTTTATGAGGGATCAAAGCTTGTTAGTTCTAAAATCTACTAAATGGCTTATTCAAATGTGAAGTGTAGGATTCTTCCACCTTGTTTCTTGGAAGTTGCCAAGAGACATATAACACCTTCTAGGAAGGAGCCATCCAACATTGAGATATTTCCACATTCCTTCATGGAAGGTGCTTGGAGATAGCTAGGAAACTTCCTAGCAATGGGAATGGAAGCTTGGATGCAACTTCCTCATGTCTCCCATATACACCTATAAATAGGGAGTGTATTGTTGTTCATAATCATCAGTTTTAGAAAGTGAGAAAAGCGTGTGAAGAGTGAAATACACTTAGAGTAGAAGTGTATTGGTGAGAATTGGGTTTTTGTAATAGTTGAGTGTGAGAGTTTGCTCCTCCTATTGTAATTCTGTTCTTGATATTGAATAGAAGAATTTTCCAATCCCAACAAGTGGTATCAGAGAAGAACCATTCACAATTACTCAGTCTTGTCCACTCAGATGTATGTGGACCCATTGAACAAGAGTCACTTGGAGGAAGCATATATTTCGTGACATTCATTGATGATGCATCACGAAAGGTATGGGCTTACTGTCTAAAGAGTAAGGATCAAGTGTTTGATCGTTTCAAATTATTTCATGCCATGGTAGAAAGAGAAACAGGGAAGAAGCTGAAGTGTCTACGTTCAGACAATGGAGGAGAGTACACTTCCAGGGAATTCTCAGCATATTGCGCCGCATATGGAATCTGACATGAGAAGACGGTTCCACGAACTCCACAACACAATGGTGTAGCCGAAAGAATGAACAGAACCATTGTGGAGAAAGTTTGTTGCATGTTGAGTATGGCTAAACTACCAAAGCCATTCTGGGGTGAAGCTGTGCTAACAGCTTGTTATCTTATAAACAGGTCACCTTCTGTTCCTTTAAACTTTGAAGTGCCAGAGAAGAAATGATCAGGAAGAGATATTTTCGTTTAAACTTGCGTTTTTGGACCGCTTCAGATGAACCCACGCCGCCTCCATGCTCCTCCTCGTCGGGGGTATCCCCATCACATTGTTGATACTCATCCCCGCTGCCTTGGTGCCCCACATTCCCGCCGCCTCCTCCAGCATCCTCCTCGGCGTCATCGTCCTCCAACTCCTCTTCAATGTCGGACATGTTTTGTTGATGGAAAAATTGGCCTTGGTTTTGCTTCAAGAGATATCGAAGTTGCTCATCGGTCATCGCTCTCTATGATCATAATCGGTCGTCCAACCATTGCATGATTGGGACGAAGATGTTGCCCCTATTTGTCGTTTACCTTTCGACCGGCCCGAAGGATGACCTCTCGCAATCATTTGGTCGATTGCGTTGGAGATTACCTATATCAACGGGTTTCCTAACCCGGTCCATTGTCTTAAAATATTACAAAAAATACAAATTACAATGTCAATAAATTGAATTACAAATTCATTAACAACTAATTGACAAAAAAATTGTAAAAATACTAACTACAATTTAAATACAAAAAAGTAGTTAAATACTTGCAATGAATAAAATGTATCAACAATGACTACTTGCCAAAAAAAATTAAATGATTATAATGCAACTACTAAAATGAGTAAAGTAGAATAAAGTAGAATTCGTGATTGAGAATTTGAGAATTGAGAGTATAGAATTTGAGTAGAAGTAGAATAGTGTGAAAAATGTATAAAATGAGTAGGTATATATAGGGAAAAATTTGGTAACCCTCACCCCCGCCCCTAAACCACCCCCCAAACCCCTCCCCAACGGCCAAAGAGCCGTTACAAGCCATTCCAAATGGCTAGTTTGACCCCAGCCCCAGCCCACCTCCAGCCCCAGCCCCTAATTAAAATTCAAAAAAAAAAAGGCCATTGGGACCTGAACCGGGACCGCCGGGTCCGGTCCGCAGACTACCTACCCCAGACCGAGCTCGTCCAATACTCGGTCGGGTACCCAGTCCAAGCCCGGGACCGGGAAAACGGACCCTGTTCAGTCCCGCACAATGGCGGAACCGCTGACCGGGTCCATCCCTACCCATGCTAGGAGGTAGGGGTGGGTAAAAAGACCCGATCCCGTTGATCCGTTCCTGAATGTTCCGGTTCCGTTCCGAAATTGGCCTGTTATATTTGGGACACATTATTTTTGTCCTGTACTGGTCCTGAACCGTTTCAAAACAAAACGAGACCGTAACAAGTAAAATATATTCCGTTCCGTCCCGTTGTCCCGAATCCAAAATTGTACTTTGTAGATTAGTGAGTCTATCAATAACTCATTATGTAATCCAAATTATAATAGTTAGACTTTTTTAATAATAATAAAAAATACTAATGATTATCCTTTTACATTTACAGCAAATAATAATTATTATCATTTTTAATAATAATTATCCTTTTTTTCACAACCCAAATACCAATGATTATTAAAATACTACGGGGTAGTTGTTAACAACATAACACCTAAGAAACTTTAAACTACCTAGTATGAACTATGAACTATCATTTCTCTACAAAAAAAGAAATTGATTTTTACTCCCAAAGGCTTCACTTCCTATTGTATTCTTTTATCAGTTTTTTTTTTTTATACAGATTTCTTAATAGTTTTTGTCTTAAAGTTTTTTTTTGCTGCAACTGTTGTTTCTTGCAACTAATCTGGTTAGTTGCATTTTTTTCTCACAATTTTCTAGATTAGGTGCAATTTTTTTGTCATAGAGTTTTTTTGTGCTAGTTTTTTTTTCCCCAAATAGATTTGCTTTATTTTTGGGATTGCAATTTTTTCACTACAATTTTTTGGGAAGTCCCGAACCGTCCTGTTTTGTTCCGATACCGGTAGGGGTGGGCATGGTTGGTTAACCATAGTTTGGTTAACCGATTTATGGTTAACCGAGATTTCGGTTTATATATTTATAATATCATTAACCGTACCGCAATGACGGTTAACCGAGTAATATTTAACTATAGTATTGATTAACCATTAATTGGTTAACCGAAAAACCGTCTTAGCCTCTTAGGAAACCATTAATAGATAGGTAGTACTAAGTACTAACGACCTGGATTCCATCTTAGTGCATGCGCATAGTATATATACAAACAGAATTAATAGACTTAAAATTTGTTTTCAATTATTAATTCATTTTGCAATTCATGTAGGTAATTGATCCTTGTACATTACCACTACCTTACTCACGTATGAATGTGTTAAAGGTAGTCGGTTAGTTGTTACTCACGCACTGCCATCCTCTAGGCCAATGGCTTGTATTAATATTCCAGTAAATCAATTAAATAATCATGGATCGGTACTTCAATTTATATATACTAAATGGAAAAAACACTTTCGAGTTTCAACTAAAGTTAACTGTGCCATGAATTTGGAATAATTTTTTAATTTTGGATTGTCGGTTTTCCGGCGGTATTAATTTCAAAACCGTAACCGTACCGTGAACCGCTTTATTCTTTTGGTTGGTTAACCGTACCATAAGCATTTTAAAAACACGGTATGCTTAACAAAAAAAACTCCGATTTCTCGGTTATTTACCACGGTTAAGCGGTTACGGTTTTTCATGCCCACCCCTAGGTACCGATTTAAATGGGACAACAAAAGGACAATATTTTGTTCCATCCCGTTCCGAACCATTATTATAAACTGAGTTCAGTATTAGGAGTCCAGGACAACCCAATTCCAATTCTGTCCCGGACCACCGTGCCCACCGCTACTAGGAGGACCGGTAGTGCTAGTATTATTATGGAATATTAAATAAAATAAAAAAAGCACACGAAAAATGGACCCAAAGCATTACCGCGCCAAATTTCAAAGCTTAAGAAACGAAAAGCAGAGCACTTCGGATTTTGGTAGCTAAATAACAATGGGAGAAGAACAAGTGTTCCCAAACAGCAACGAACTCGTGGTTGCAGAATCTCTTCTTCTCCTATCCTTCACGCCTCCATCTCCTTCTCTTCCCAGGTAAAACTTGAGCCCTCTCTCTGATTTCACTTGAGCTTCATTTCAATTCGTTCATGCCAGCATTCATGTTCTGCTTCCTTTTTTAAGCATGATCAAACACGAGAGCTCCTTGCCGTTAATTGATTTGAGCACCGGAACTGTTTGCTTTTCAAAATCAAAACCACAATCGTGTGCCTCTATTTTGTCTGATGTGACCTGGGATGGTGATGGCTCATCTGTAGATGCTCAATCACATTCATGTAGGAAGAAGCTTGAGGTAGAGTTCATGTTTTTCCGAAAATTATTTCTGAAGCTCATATGAATATACTTATTTCTGATTTAAGTCACAGCCTCGTAAAATCTGGCATAGGCGTGAAGCTACATGTGAATACGAATTGTATTGATTTTCAAATTCAGTAATCCAGAATTTCAAATGTTGGATTACTGACCGTTAATTTTTATGCTGCAATTTAAACTATGTTTTAGAAATATACTCTGATACAGGTTTTTTCTATTTTTTTCTCCGATTGTTGAGACTGAGCTCTGTGACCAACTGACCTCAGTGGTTAACTTGGTCAGCAAGTTTGTTGGTTTCCTTTAAATGGATTTTGTTTGATGATAGATTTCGTAATGCTTATGTTATGTGCTTTGAGATCTGCAATCTGTTATCCATTTAATTTGAAATATGTGCCAGCGATTTAATCGAGGATATTCTGGCATGCTCTCAGAGCTTGTTACTTCTGTTTTTATGGTCGATCAGAGCTTGTTATTTCTAAAATCTACTAAATGGCTGATTCAAATGTGGAGGTGGTTCGGAAGAAGAGGTCACTGAGCTTCTGCATTTCTGATGAAGAGAAAATCCGCCCAGTAAAGGAGATGCCAGTCGTAACTAAACCGCCTGCTGCCTCTTCATGCCTGTCGAATGAGTCTGAATCCAGCACCATTTCCAGCGCAGGTAGCCATGGCAGTGCCAGCATCATGGGCAAGCAGCGGGACAAGGCAAAACCAGTGACTGAAGTGTTGAAATCAAAGAAAAAGCGGCCAGAGTTGACACACATAAGACGCAGGTCAGAGGCTATCTTGAACATCTTGTCTCATGAATCTGCTTCTGAAGTCAAGATCCGCAAGCTTCTCGGTGATAGCCCTGACACTAGCAAAGCCCTGAGATTGTAATATCTTCTCCGTCTCTCTCTGTCTCTTAATTCCCACTTTTTTAGTGTATGGGAGTACGTTACTCCGTAGTACTGTTCTTTTCTAGAACTTTTGCTGATTAGGAAATGGTAATCCTATTGATAGAGAGAATAAAAATTATCTTTGTACACAAGATTTATACACTTTTTGTAAACGCGTTTATGTACACAAGCAACTTATCAAAGAATTTTCTATACACATACAATTGGATGCAAGTTTTATGTGTATACGAACGAGTATTGTGTACAAATATTGTGTAGAGAATAATGTTGTTATTTTGAAATGTCTTGTAAGCAATTGTGAGTCCTGACACTTGGTGTAATGTAGGCTGCTCAAGTTGGAAGAAGTGACAAGATCTGGGGCTGGAGGACAAAAAGATCCATATATTTACACAGTAATTTCTATCATTCCTCCTGATTCCTTGATGACTTGATCCAAATATACTTCTTGAGAGCTTTTTCGTTACAAGTTTACTTTTTATTATAAAAATAGTGAAACATGTTTTTTTTTAATTTTCTTAAGATTGCCTTGCTCATTTCTACCCCAAAATGCCAAATCACTAATTAATTTAAACAAAATATACATTCAAATGATATATATATTCAAATGACACTATGTTTCAAGGTTTAGTTCATTTAGTGATTTTAAAAAAATGCTGGGCGATCCATAACTTTATTAGGGTCAAACGTCTTGGCTGGTTATTAATATGTACTCCAAAATGAGAAGTCTAAGCTTTAGGGTGGAACTAGGTGGCTATTTTTAAAAGAATACTCATAAAGATGACCACTTATTCACTTGATGCTGGAGAGATGATACCTAATATAACCATCACTGTGTTTATAACTGAAAAACAGGTCTTCAACATTGGATTGCAATGAAAATGAATTTAATTATTTTGTTTGTTTCGGAATTCAGCATGCATTACTGTTCATCTTTCAAATTTTTCCTTTTTTCAATTCCCAGTTTGAAGATTTTTAAACTACTAGTCTAAAAATGAAATTTATTCAACTGCTCTAATTCTTTGTACTTTCTTTCTTTGAGTGCAGATCAGATCAGCACATAAATAACACCAAATTAGCAAACTTCAGAAAGGGGAATGTTAGATTTTTAAAAACTTCATAGATGCATCATGCATGTGTATAACTCCACTATTTACCATTTTACGGTATAGTGGACAGATCAATTATTGTGATGCTTTCAAGTATATAATATATACAAAGACCTACAAGTACTACATCAAGTACTACAGTTCAAATATGAATGTAAGCTATATTACTTTTTGAGTTTCATGTTCTCAAAGTCTCCTTGGAACGAGGGATACAGAGGGCGGGATCTCCTGAAACTAAAAACATTCTCGATCCGAACAAAGTTGGGACCTGCTGACTCAGTTTTCTCAGCTTTGTACTCTGATGAATGAGAGCTACCATAGACTCGCACGCTTAATGTCTTTCTCTTGGGAGAATTCACACTGACATACTCATCAAAGAAATCAACCAAGTCCCCTTTGGTCAGTTGCTTCAGTGCTTTAACCTATATTGACAAACAATGTTTATATCTCGGTCACTCGCTTATACGTAGTACAATGTTATTATAACCGAGATTAAACACGTAATGCATTTATCAGAAGAGCTCTATGAACTACAATGTAATGTGTACTGTCACCTTATAACAGAATGTTTTTTGGGACACACTTTTTTATATAAGTACGGATCATTATTTAAAAATTATGACTTGTGTATCTGTGGTCAAAGAAGACTCTTGTTTTTTATGGTGGAGTACTGGAGTTGGTGATTACCACTTATACACATGAATGACATGAGCATGACTCACATTCTTATTTTCCGTAAACCTGTTGTTAGCAATCTATTTTAGAGTTTTCCATTGCCAGGGCCAAAGAGATGAAAGTCAACACAATAATAATGTTTTATTAATGTACTTGAAGAAGTAAAATTCAGCCTGCTAGTAAGAACACAGATTCGTACCTCCATTTCTACCCTATTGAACTTATAAGTTCCACCAGAAATTTCCCACCAGAAATAATCAGTCTCCTCTCCTAGATTCTTAAACTTTTCAAGCTTCACATCAATAAGTGCATTGACCTTGTTCTGCATTACACAAATATTACATCAAATGTTAGTCAACGAGAAATTTTATCCAATGAATCACATGTCACATTCCAAGATGCCTGTGTTGATTTCATAATTTTTTCCTTATAATGGAACATGACCATAAGTCCATAAGATACAGTATTGCACTGAGGTATCAAGCTAAACTGGAATGGATAAGTAAGCTGACCTTAAATTCATCGTTGGACATCTCTGACAGCTTACCCTTGAATGTGGCAAGAAACTCCGTAACTCGGGACTCCACATAGCTAGGATCCTGTCAATAGCATCACATCTGATTACAATACATCTGAAGTATTTTTATGCCAAAGTTGGATAAAAGAAACATGCGGACAGAGAGCAATGGGCATTAAGAGTTGACAGAGATGGGAACAAAATGCTATGGAAAATGTTTTCAAAATGTTTGGTTTACCTTGGAAAAACATAAAACAGGAAAATCATATTTGATCAAAACATTTTAAAACTTACATATAACTAGATATTCAGCTTTTTATAATAGAAATATATAATTTAAGAGCTTTCAAAAAATATTTAAAATTGATATGTATAGTTTGAACCATTTTTTCCCAAGTTTCTTACCAAATTTGCACTCAATTCGTCACTGCCAATTCTTTTTCCTTATCATTTTCTGAGTCTCAAACAAGACCCAAAGAAAAATGATATCCAACAATGGTCATAACCCAAACCAAAACCAAATGTAATTATCAGATGCTATACCTTCATAGTGCAAAAGTATGAATGATTATTTGTTTCAGGGACCTCATAATCTAGTAGACTAATAGCATATGCTTGATAGACCACATACCTTAACAGATGATTGGACAATAAATTGCAACCCACAAACTCCAGAATCATACCTATAGTGAGAAAATATTAACTTCTTCAGAACTAAGAAAACAAATTGCTGATAACTATAAAACAAATTTCACTGAATGGAAATGCTAAAGGGACAAAAATAAAACATTGTCCATATACCTCCGAGAAAGTGAAGTAATGTAACCGAGCTGCTCAACAGACCTCAGTTGGTCAAAGGCCGGTTGCTTTGCTATCAATTCAAAAAGTTGGAGCTTTACATTCAGCTCAAACTCATCAAGGCCAACCTATAAATTCACAAATATTATGCAAAATAATTACAAATTTATAACAAAAATAAAACGGTATTTACAAAAATGTGACCTCTTAAGTGTAGTGACTATAATAGTAACTTTGGTCATGGTAACTTATGTTCAATTTTTACACTTAAGTGACAATAACAATATACTCATAGTAACTTTGGCCATATTTTTGAAAATAAGTTTTATGTCAGTAATATTTTTGGAAAAAAACTCAATATTATGCATTAAAACCTCTGGGATATGAACTGCTCTCTCTCTCTCTCTATATATATATATATATATATATATATCTGTATGTATATATATATATATAGAGAGAGGGCAGTTCATATCAGGAGCTCCTGATCAGAACCGCTGTGCGGAATTCACTGTTTGGGGTGGTTCCCGGTGGATTTTTTTGGTGATATTTTTTGAGCATGTTCTTCATCAAGTCTAGATTATGCATACCAAATTTCAGCTCAAAATTCAATCGGGAAGGCAGTTAAATAAATTATTGAAACATACTGCACATTATGTACAGTATATTTCAAGAATTTATTTAACTGCCTTCCCAATTGAATTTTGAGCTGAATTTTGATATGCATAAACTAGACTTGATGAAGAACATGCTCAAAAAAAATCATCAAAAAATTCCATCAGGAACCACCTCAAACAGTGAATTCCGCACAGCGGTTTCGGTCAGGAGTTCCTGACTCGAACGGGACTATATATATATATATAGAGAGAGAGAGAGAGAGGGGGGGGGGGGGGAATTCTCCTGTCCAGCACCTTCCCGTCCGAACGCTGCCCGAACACCGCCGTTTGGGGCGGTTCCCGGTGGAATTTTTTGATAAATTTTTTTGAGCATGTTCCTTGTCAAGTCTAGTTTATCCATACCAAATTTCAGCTCAAAATTCGATCTGGAAGGCAGTCAAATAATTCGTTGAAGTTAACTGTGTTTTTCTATGTATAATTTGTCTTCAACGAATTATTTGACTGCCTTCCCGATTGAATTTTGAGCTGAAATTTGGTATGCATAAACCAGACTTGATGAGGAACATGCTCAAAAAATTTCATCAAAAACTTCCACCGGGAACCGCCCCAAACGGCAGTGTTTGGACGGTGTTCGGACGGGAAGGTGCTGGACAGGAGAATTCCTCTATATATATATATAGATTAAAGATCAAATGAGAACAAGGCTTAATGTGAGAACGTGAGAACACCACATTTACCCAGATGTGATGCACAATGAGGTTCGTTTGTTGCACTTTTTCATGTTGAGCTTAACATTTACCAAAATGCCACCACAACTATTTATGTTGGCTTGGTTTGAGCAAATTTAAAATGTGCACCAGGCAGGATCTATTGTGTATCACATTGGGTTAAATGTGAGTGTTCTCACGTTCTCACGTTAAGCACTGGTCACATTGACTTTGCCCAAGTCTTAGACTCTTAGCACCGCGGGATTTAATAAAACATTGCAGCTGACTAAACTTTTAATTGTAGAACCTTGATGTGGAACACCACTGTCGAAGTATGTGGCACCGTGTGTATCTAACTATCTACTAGTAAAATACTAAAAAATTAAGTACTTAACATATGCGATATTCGCAATATACTCCCTCCGTATTTTAAAAATACTTAATTACCCTTACTTTTTCTACATTTTATCTCCTCTTTCATAATCTTACACCTTATCTCCTACTTTTTCTAGACTATTCAATTATTCATTACCCATACTACTTTTCTCCTTAAATAATGTGTCAAAGCCTATTGTAGCAATTCTAAAAATACGGAGGGAGTATATTTATTTCTCATGTACCTGAATATAATGTGAGAAAGCTGAGTTCTCATCACTTGGATTTAGTCCCTCTGTATAGTATAAATATGGTGTGCCTTGTGCAAGATCAATGACTCGGCTTGTCAAATGCTCAGATGCAAATAAAGCCCGGGAGACAGGATGTGGTCCCTTGTAAAGTAAATTTTCAATGCGTTGGATCACTGACTCTGCTTCATTTGATTCGGTATTTCCTGATAAGTATATGGTAAGAGTGGACTTATATTAGTGCAGGGCTTTAACAACCCCTATAAAAGTTCATATTAATTGAAAAAACCTGTCACATAGCATTCTAGAAAAGTTCTTGACAGCAACAAAGGGTAAAATCTAGAGAGACTATCAACATCAAGAGAAGGAAGGACTTGTAGTTCATGATCCCAAGACCATCTTTTTTCCTGGAGTGTCAATGAGCAGTAGTACATTGCTTGCTCGTAAGGTTGTTGGCACTTGATATTTTTGTATTTTCTGGTCACCAATTCCTGTAAGGCATAAATTGAACTCCCAAAAGAAATAAATAAAAAAATCACACTGCGCTACATGTTTCAGTATTCACACTGTATTTCCAACCTGCACTTTTCCAGTTCTTATTGCAACAATTGCTATTTAAAATGGGTCTATTGTTACTCCTTTAGGAACTAAGTCCAGTTGTGATGGTGTACCAGCTGAGTGTGAGAAAAGTCCTTTTTTGGCATATGAAAGAAACATTAAAAGGTAATGCTTATGGCACCAGTTTCATCGGTGTAGCTAGAGCTTCACAATTTTTTAATTTGGGGTGGGCTGAAAATAATTAACTCATGTAAATTTTGTGGTTAGAATTGAGTGTGTGTGTGTGGCCCATCCGCCCAGGTTGCCCCCTTGATATGCCTTGCGCCAATGAAAATCTTTTTTGAACATGGCACAACCCAAACAGCAAAAAAACCTTTACTAAATTATAGATCCTAGTCATATGAGACAAGAAAAGTCAGACAACAAATGAAAAAGAATCACTAGTACTACTGCTACATAAGTTTTTTACGATATACTATGCTTTATTACAAAATGCATACAAGTTCATTCAGTATAAACATTATATGTAGTAACTATTCTTGACCTTTGCGCATATAGTTCAGTAACAAGAAAGAAATAAAATTATTTCATGTAATTATTAAACAAAGAGTCACCAACAAGCTCAAGAGGTCCAATGGTGAGAAGAAATGATGACAATTTCAGCGTACCTTTATGACAGAGAATCTATCTGGTTTAACTTCAAAGTTCAAAAGTTTATCAATTACTTTCTCCAGCAAGGTTGTCATTTTTTCACTGTATCCACCAACAGATACCTGAAGGAAAGCATAAGAAGCTATGTTTCCAAATGTCTTTTCATTTACAAAGTTTATAGTAGCAAGGATAAGTTTATTCTTTGAGAAACTGTTCGACGGCTAAAGGATATAAAAGTTGTCACATTTAACTTTTATACATTATTATTCATAACACAACAGTGCCCGAAAAGACTTCAATGAAAATAATAGTCACATGAAACTTAAATGTCATGTCAATGTATTTCCTGCATATATGAATACACCTTCTGTTATAGGTAATACCAGTTTTAAAATTGGGTATCATCTCAATTATTAATCTAGATTGCATATGCAACATCCAAAATGTCATGTTAAAAAAAGGCTCAACATGTGAATACCTGGAAACCGTTATAGTAGCTATTTACAGAATAACCAAGACCAGCCATCTCTGCATAGTAGGCTGAAAAATATACAATATAATGAAACAATAACCAGGACAGAAGGTTAATGATTTCCTACACCTGATACGTGTGTTCAACTGTTCATTGATGGCATAATTAGCTATAAAATGTATGTAATTCTCTCCATCAAGTAAAATCAGTATTTAAACCATAGAGAAAGCAAAATACGTACAAAAAACATATCATATTAAAAGTTCCCTCTTTTCTACTTACCGTATTCATTTAGGTCATCCATCACCAAGCGCAGGAAAATGTTGGTAAGAAGAGATGATTCTGGAGATATTCCACAGTTGGGACATCTAAAGTCTAACACAATATATGCTTTTGGTGTAGAGAATGATGTATCTGGCTTGTACCATAATCTTGAGTAAGCGGATTTTCTCAATAAAAATGGAGCACTCATCTGTGAGCATAAGCAAATATAAAAAATATACATAATATGGAGTAACATATAAAGTGGTAATAATGTCATAATATTGATAGATTAAGTATTTCACAGCTAATACCTTGTTTGGGATACTCTTAAGAGAGAGATTATTAGGAATGAACAAATTGGGAACAGGGAGATGCAAATCTTCAAGAAGAGCATCTTTCATCCATTGCTGTGAAGTATAAAAAAATGAAAGTATTGAAGCGAACACTTGCATATATTACTTAGAACTTTACAGTGATAGAAAATCAAGAGAGCCGGTTTAGAACCTCAATAGTGGAACCAGTTAATTTCTCAGAAGAATATGCAGTCCCATACCAAGGCTCAGTGGAGTTCGTATGTCCCTCAAAATTTTGAGATTGCCAAAATATTCTGTTCAAAAGATTGTTCCATGAAAAGTTCAGCTCATCTTTGTGGTAACCAATACTACCTCCGTCCCAAAAAATTCTTCCCACTTACCTTTTTGGGATGTTCTAAAAAATTCTTCCCATTTCCTTTTTTGGAAAGGTTTGTGTGGCTACCATGAATTTACCTTTTTCTTACTCAACCACAACCATACATTTCCACTTTGTTCCCACTTTCTTAAACTCTGATCCAAGTCAAACCGGGAAGAATTTTCCGGCACGGAGGGAGTAGTATATTGTAGGCAACAAGTTTTGCAATGACACAAAATAGAATAGGTTCATATGACACAGTCTACAAAGTCACTAAAATTTACCTAACATTATGTGGAGTGAGTTCATTGAGTATTGTTCCAATAATTTCTGGGCTGAAATTTGAAAGTAAAGAAGACCCCACCAACCAATCTTTTGGAGGGTAGTCCTATAAAAATAGAACAAAAAAATATCAATACAACCTGGATATTGGTAATCAAATTTAAGTGCATGTTTGATAAAGCTAGAATAAAGGAAACCCATTAGGCTGGTCTTGTAATATAAATCAAAATGTTGGGCTATTAAGCATTAAAATGAAGAATTCAAGCAGTCACACTGTATTTTAATCAAGGCATTGTGTTGTTGCATGAAAGGAAGAAGATAACTACAAATGATTAACAGTGTAGCTAAAAAATTTACATACCCGCATATTGGACGCAATACAAACCGCATAATCAATGGGCGAAATCTTGTCTTGATAATGAAAATCAGTTTCAGAAATAGCAGAGAGCTTCATGGACAATTTATTATGGATAGGTTAGAAACATCAAGAAAGTTTAGCACTATACATACATTGAATGTCCTAAAGTTTCCATTGGAATATGCAAAAAATATGCATGGTGTATCAGTAGTTGTACACATTTGGTACACCATATTAAAACCCAAAAAATTGCCATTTTTTACACCACACATGCTTGGTTAGTCCACCCTCTCTCTCCTTTCCTTTTCACTTTTCTATTTCCTTTTTTCCTCCTCTTCATCACATCTTGTACCATCTTCCATCTTGCTCACATTACCATCATATTCAAAGTTCGAATAAAATGGCCGGAGATGAAGCTTGTACTGAGACGACGGTCGGGGAATGTTAAGTATCTAACTGAATTGCAGAGAATTCTAGCAAACAATAGGACAGAAGATGAACAGTGAATAGGATTTGTTATTCGAACAACAGAAAAGAGAGAGAAAGTGCCCTGACAGTTAAAGAGATGTCAACTCTCCAGTCCCAGCTCATTACCAAAATAACAGCCTCCTTATTCCTCCTTTAGCTATCTATTTATAGAAGTCCACCCGACCCCCAAATACAAAACAGCTAGCTACTTATTATTCCCTTTCCTTCTGGAATACATTTTATCATAATAGCTAATACTATTATTATTATTATCAAAAGGTTGACTTCCTGAGACTCTAACAGGGAAGGACATAGAACGGAGAAGACGGCCAGGGAAGGAGAGATGACATATAAGACAGCTGAGAAAGGAATTCAAGATCTTTCACACGGACAACTTGTCTATAAAATTAGGCTACATACAAAATATGTAGAAATGCACCAAAACCCCTCGTGATATAAAAATTCAGCGCATTAGCCCCTGTGATTTAATAAATGCATCAAACTTTTTCATAAAAGGGATTCTGCCCATGATTAATTATAACACACGGGGGGTTTAACGCATTTTTTAAATCACGGGGGCTAATATGCTACATTTTTATATCACATGGGGGTTTGGTGCATTAAACCCTACAAAATATGTATGTTGGTTAGTTGGAAGAATGCGATTGTACAGACAAAAGTTGTAGAAACGCAGACATTATTTGCCCGTCACAAACATTAGTTTTTGTGCTATGAGCGTCTAAACCAATGTCAATGTTGTCTATCTCCGTTTGTGTTTTCCTGTGGCTGTCCACCTCCCGCTGTGTTTCCTTGTGTTAAACCGTAGCCATGGTGATGAAGTTGGATGAAGAAGAGAGAGTGAGACTGTGAGAGTTTGTGGGGAAGTGGATGAGGAGAGTGAGTGATGAAGTTGGATAAAGAAGAGAGAGCGATGAGTTTGAGAGAGAAACCCACGTGAGTCACATCGAGAGAAAAAGGGAGGGGGTAAAAAAATGAGGTATTTATTTGGTGTACAAAAAGTGTACACCAAATGTGCACAAAGATCATTTTTCAATGTGCAATCCTTTATGAAGTTAGAAACTAAAACTATCACGATGACACAACAAAACTTTAGTTAAGCACTTAAGCGTAACTTTTACCATACTCGAACCAAAGATATTAAGCGGTACGCAAACAATTGTCTGTGCACATATTAGTTGTCCATGTGAACAATTTACAAGTTTTTCAGCTTGATTTCTTCATTCAAGAAAAAGACATTTATGACCAAATTAATTTTTAAGACGACATACACAATATTTAAAACGACACGATATAGACAATATTTGACACGCACAAACAATTTTTAACCCAACATACATTTTTTTCAAGGCAATAGTTCACACAGTTGTCCATCTCCGGTTGTGTTTTCCGGTGGCTGTCCATCTCCCGCTGTGTTTCCTTGTGTTAAACCGTGGCCATGGTGATGAAGTTGGATGAAGAAGAGAGAGTGACACTGTGAGGGTTTGTGGGGAAGTGGATGAGGAGAGTGAGTGATGAAGTTGGATAAAGAAGAGAGAGCGATGAGTTTGAGAGAGAGTAACTTTTACCATACTCGAACCAAAGATATTAAAGTGCTCAGTCCTATGGTATAACGGGTATGAAAAAGCAAAAAGATCAAAATTTGGTTGTGCTTGTTCAAATGTGCTCCTTCCCATCAATAAGAAGTTATTTACAAGGAAGAAGCTTGTTAATGAGTACAACAACAACATCCAAGCCTTAACCCCAAAAGAATTCGTGGTCGGCAAACATGAATCGATTTATGATATCGATGTCAAAGAGAGAAGACGGACAAAGAAGGGGAAAAAAGTAAGATAAAACGGATAAAATAAAGATAAATAAATATAAGATAACAATAACGAAAGAATATAAGAAAGATAAAAGATAGAAAGATAAAAAAGTATAAAAAGCTAGAAGATAAAAATAACATTAGAATACAAAAAGATAAAGAAGATAAACAATAAAAGAGAAGAGAGAGGAAAGGTAGAAAAGACATCAATCGTCCACACGTAATAGAAATGAAGCAAGGTAGAAGCAGAAATGAAATCATCTTACTTAGAATCAGATATTACAGGTATATTTGAGAAAGTAAGTGTAGCCATCAAAGGACTGAATAGGAGCTGGCCCCCATAAGTCAGTATAAATCAGTTCAAAAGGAGAATGAAAAACAGTTGTAGATGGATAAGAGGGTAGTCTGTGAGCTTTACCCAAACAACATGCAGAACAAAAGTCAATAGCATTTTTATTGATATATGTAATATTACATAGATTCATTACAGACTTAAGGGCCTCAAAATGAGGATGACCTAGCCTTAAATGCCAAATATTACAACTGGAGGTTGATTGAGAGTTATTACAAGTAGATACAAGAGAGCTAGGAAACACAGATGTATGGGGATGAAACTTGGACAGATTTGAAGTAGAGTTGTGAGAACCAAGAGCTGGAAAGGATTGAAACTTGTAAAGACCATCTTCACCAAGTATTCCATACAGCAGAACCTGTTTAGAAACCTGGGATTTAACAAAACATTCATGAGGATGAAATTCAAAAAATGCATTGTTATCTTTGGCAAATTGGCTGACACTTAATAGATTTTTGGTAATAGCAGGAACATGTAAGATTTTGTTGAGAGATAAAGAAAGAGATGATTGATAGGGTGAGGGAAAGGATGAAAAACCAATAGACATAATTTCCAAACCTTGACCATTGCCCATAAACAGCTTATCAGTGGTAGCAATTGGCTCACTGTGTTGGAGATTGAGGGGATCAGCAGTAACATGGTGTGTAGCTCCAGAGTCTGGGAACCAGTTCTGAGAATTTGGGGGTGGTCCTAGTATAGAAGAGTTTGCACAAGCCCAGGCTGCAGTTGGCACAGTAGGGGATGAATTGAGTTGTGAGAGATGATTACCTTGCTGTGGATAGGGATAAGGTGGTTGGTTGGGTGAGTATCTTGCTATATTTGGAGGAAGCAGTTGGTATTGATTTGAGTAGAGATGTGAAGGTGGTTGTTGGTATTGATTTGGTTCGTACTGAGGTTGGTGAAATTGATTTGAGTGAGAATATGAAGATGAAGGTTGTTGCATAGGACGAGGAAGCTGTTGCTGCATATGAAAAGGATTGGTACCAGTATAGGCTGGATTGTATCTGTGGTAACAAACGAGTGCACTGTGACCATTTTTCCCACAAACTTGACAAGTAACTGAGCTTCTACCTCCTGAACGACCACCTCTGCCCCTATTGAAACCTCCACGACCTCTACCTCTGTAGGAGGAGTTGATATTTGAGGTGTCAAAGTGAGCAGAAGTATCAAACTGAGCAACTTGAGCTGAAGCTGTTTCTGAATTGTCCTGAGCTTCGGTTTCAGTATTTTGAGTGGAAGATTCAAGTCGAGCAACATTAGCAGCAAATATTGTTTGTTGCGAGGACTCACGAAGTTTCTTCAGTCGTAACTCTTTTGCTAGCAGAAGACCTTCAAGTTCAGATAAGGTAACAGGATCTAAGATGCTTCGCGAGGACACAGATGATATAAGTGACTCGTAATCCTCAGGAAGACCTTCAAGGATCACATTGATGTGATCCTTGGTTGATATAGGCTCGCCGACAGAAGTTAGGTTATCAACAATTGTTTGAATACGAAGCAAGTATTCAGAAATAGAACGATCACCTTTCCCGGTGTTATACAGTTCCGATTTCAGTTGACGAGCTCGCGCGATGATACTTGAGCGGAAGAAATTCTGAATTTCACTCCATAGCTCATGCGAATGCTTGCAGCAGATGACGCGAGCATGAAGTGATTCTGAAAGCGAAGCTAAGAGCCACGAAAACAGCATTTGATCTTGTTGCTCCCAGGTGTTGTATGCTTCGTTAGCTGTTTTCGCTCCATTTTCATCAACTGAGAAACGATCTGGTATCTGAGGATTTTCTATGAATCTGAGAAGTTTATGAGCTCGGATTACTGATTCAACATGATGGCGCCAAAACAGAAAATTGTTTGAATCGAGTTTAATAAGTAGAGGATGATGAAAAATAATAGGCGAAGATTGATTAGGAATGTGAGAAGATGATTGCGAGGAAGAAGATGATTCAGACGCAGAGTTCGTCATGGTTAGATCGAGCAATGCTCTGATACCATAATAGAAATGAAGCAAGGTAGAAGCAGAAATGAAATCATCTTACTTAGAATCAGATATTACAGAGTAGGAAGTAATCATGGCTAACAAAACCGAAGCTTAACAGAAAGCAGTTACATTGCTTTACAAAGAAATACACGTGTAGTTTTCCTACACTATTCCTAACAACACGGATGTGCGTCCTCACCTTTGCTCTCTCCAAAGTCATGCTCTCATCCAACCCAAGAAGATGCATATCAGTTCTGATTCCTCTAATCCAAGTCTGTTGGGATCTTCCCTTCCCTCTCTTCTCTGTCTCTTCTCCCCACCCCTCAAAACGTTTAACAGGTGCATCACTCGGTCTTCTACGTACATGCCCAAACCACCGCAAACGAGACTCCTGCATCTTATCTTCTATAGGTGATACTCCCACCTTTTGTCTGATTATCTCATTCCTCAAGCGGTCTTTTCTGGTATGTCCACACATCCAACGCAACATACGCATCTCTGTCACACTCATCTTTTGAATGTGTTATTGCTTCACCGCCCAACACTCTACATCATACATTAATGCAGGCCTAATTGTTGTTCGATAAAATTTACCTTTCAAGGCGATCATACCTTGATCGCCTAGAAATCCTGATGCACTCTTCCAATTCATCCACCCAACTTTGATTCTATGACATACATCTCCATCTAATTCACCATCCTTCTGAATTATGGAGCCCAAGTAACGAAACATATCACACACCGGTTTCTCCTTACCATCAAGAGTAATCCCATCGTTGCTACTACTTCTACCTCCACCAAACTTGCACTCCATATACTCAGTCTTGCTTCGACTCAATCTCAAACCCTTGGTCTCCAATGTTTGTTGCCATACTTCCAACTTTGCTTTAACATCGGATTGTGTCTCATCAATCAATACAATATCATCGGCAAACATCATGCACCACGGTATATCTTCTTGAATTGATTTCGTAAGTTCATCCATGACTATAGCAAATAAGAAAGGACTCAGAGCAGATCCTTGGTGCACTCCGATAGTAATAGGGAACTTTGTGGTCCTCCATACACTAGTGCGGACACTTGTAGTACAAACATCATACATATCCATGATGATACTGATATACTTACGTGATATGCCTTTTCTAGTTGAGACCCACCAAAGGACTTCTGGATGTACCCTATCATATGCCTTTTCTAAGTAATTAACACCAAATGCAGATCCTTTTTAGTGCCTATATACTTCTCCATAACTTGTCTAAGAAGGTGAATGACCTCAGTTGTTGAGTGTCCTGGCATAAAACCAAACTGGTTTTCCGAAATTTTCACACTTTTTCGAAGTCTTTGCTCAATCACTCTCTCCCACAGTTTCATGGTGTGACTCATAAGCTTAATTCCTCGATAGTTGGAACACTCTTGTACATCACACTTATTTTTAAATAGAGGAATGAGAGTACTTTTCCGCCAACTCACTGACATTTGTTTTTTCTCCAAATCATGTTGAAAAAACGTGTTAGCCACTCAATGCCTTTCTCTCCCAAACTTCTTCAAGCCTCGATCGGTATGCCATCTTGACCCACTGCATTCTTCTGCCCCATTTTTCTCATAGCCTCTTTAACTTCTGTTGTTTGAATCCTTCTCACGAAGTTGCGATTTACCATACACTCTAGTATAGTAAGATCATCAATACCTTGCACTTTGTTAATGAGTCACCAAATAAAAATAGCTATTTGGTGTGCATATTGCTATGAGTTGCAATTTGTATAATTAATTGTGGGTGAAATTCAGTAATGAGTTTAAAAAATACAGATATAATGTGTACCTCCTCAAATATCCATTTGCAGACACCATTTTCTTGAAGGAGGTGAATATATTTGAAAAGCAATCCTACAACTTCCTCAAAATGGTCTGCAACTCATACAGAATGGTAGATGGTATAAAAAGGTTAAGGCTTTCACATGCAATATGATGATATACTTATCTGACAGCTTTAAAAATACAACTGCTATTTTTGTTCAGCTCTTATTTGTTCAGCTTTAAAGATACAACTGCTATTTTCTTGTTTTGCGAGAAAGGATGCCTTCTCTGGTGGGATTTTGGTTTGGTCCCCCTCACGTTTGTATTTATCCTTTTTATTAATAAAATCCTCACAAATGTTCCCCGGCTTTTGCCCCACCCATGGGTGGTTGGTTTGCCTTCCGGGTTAAAAAAATGGGGAGACCAAAGAACTAGAGAAAATTTCTCTAAAGCGGTCTTGCAAACTTTTTGTCCAAGACTTGTAAAGATGAAAGGACACTAACCATGACCAACATCAGTCAGTTCAATATATACTTCAAAAAAAGAGAAGAACCGACATCTTCCTGATTCAGAAGCCCATAAGCTAGTAGCCCAACCTGCAAGAATTGCACTTGAAAAGCACATATAAGATATGAAGCCAATATAACCCCAAAAAGCATCTGACAGTAGTTGTTGGGATCATAACACAGAAAAGCAAGGAGGGAAATGAAGTATTATAGCTGAGCAGAAACTAAGTGAGGTTTGTTTACAGTATATATCTCTATATCTAAGTAAAGTTGTTTACTGTAGATGTCTATACCACTGATGGCTACATCTCACTGCAAAGTTGGCTTTTAAATAGATATGTAATAAGCATGACACGTTTAACAATCATAAAATAACTTTGTATACGATAAAGGTTAAAATTAGGGCCAATCATATAAACATTAGCAAAGAGTGACATACATTTAGTCTAACTACGCTTGGCCAATATATAAATGGCTATATGTAAGAAGTGAGTGTATTCAAGGTTCTGAACTTCTAATTGAATGCAGATATCAATAAGACTCTGGGGATTCATGACTGTTGGAATTCAAGCCAGATATAAAAGTCCAATATCATTAAAGTAAACAAGAGAAGATTAGGCAGACAGGGTAGGCACCCCACATTGATAAGCTTGTTAAGCAGAAATAACCTTATGGATCTACAATAAAATATAGCCTTTGTATGGTTAAGGTAAAATAAGAGAGAAAATAGAAAGTAAACAAACAGGAGAGGAATGAAGATTTTTTGCTTTTGGTGAACAGAGAAATGGGAAGGAGAGAAATGAAATGGCGGTTCCACCTGTTTTACTTCTTCTTTCTTATGGATAGAAATGAATTTCCAACTACTTTCTTCTCCATTTCTCTTCTACCAAACAACACAAAATCCACTCCCATTTCTCTCTTCTGTTTTTCTTCCATAAACCAAACAAAGTCAAAGATAAAAAGAGGGGAAACCATGTGTTATGCATATGGACTTTGTGACTTTCAAAAGCAGTAGCTGAGAACCCACCTAACTTCTTCAAACTGTAAAATAAAGAACCTTCTCCTTCATGGCCAATCAAGTGACTTATATAGCTGATAGGTCCTTCCTTGTAGTGAAAGAGCTCAGGGGTGACTGGCCATTTGATGCTCAACTTGTGACCTTGCTTTATAGGGACTGCTTTGACGAGAATCTGAGTTGTACAAAAAAAATTAAGAGATGTTTCAAAAAACAATATTACCTCATTTGACAATTAACAGCTCTTAAGCAAGCACTACAGATATTTTAGGGAATGCTCCAGTTGATAAAAAGTCCCAAATGTAGCAAATTTTTAAAACTTCAAGAGAAGATAATGTCGGCTCTAACTTCTAAGCACAGAAGTATTCATTTAAGAAAATGCTGTACGGAACAACAATAAGGATTTGATTAAAGTCACTAATCCTGTTCAGTGTTCACAAATGGCTTCTAATACAGAATTTATTAGAACAGCAACTACTTCTCTTTAACCATTTCGGTTATTCCTTGCATCCTTGATGTTCAAGTTTTAGTCTGATAGAACTAACCAATTTTTACAGAAAATTCACAAAGAAATATCAAGAACAAGAACTGCAAACTTTATTGGAGAAGACAGTAACAATGGCCGAAGCCCCCAAAAGAAAGAGAAAACTCTAACTTCCCAGTCCCAAGACAATAGTCCAAAAACAGCCTACCTCTCCTTCCCATACTATTCTATTTATAGACTTCCAGTACAACCTACTCTAGTCATTAGTTAATAACAGAAATATAACTAACAACTAACTCTTCTATATATTAGTCTAATAGGTCGATCCCTATCATAGTCCAAAACACATAAGAGCCAGGAAAAATTAAATAAAGAATAATAAACCCGGCGCACAAAATAATTTTCAATTCTTCTTAGAAATTAAGTACCTGTAGATGCTCTGATGTGCAAGGCTGGCCACAATCAAGAGCACAACTTCTAGTAGTATTTTGGATTTTATGGAAGACATTCTGTACTAGGCTTTGGGTTTTATCAAGGCTATCTAACATATCCCCAATGAAAGAAGAAGGATCAGTATCGGCAAAGTTTAGGTTGTACAGATTAAAACATATGCAAACATGAGACAGTTACCTTTTGCATAAACAACCAGATGCATCACGTTGGATGAATAATTTTCCTCATAGAATTTGAGAAGCTCCTGCCTTATATCTAACCCTCTTTCCTTTGGTCGTACTTCCAAAGTATCCCAGCTCCCTATCAAGAATTAAATGATGGTAAAAAATAGAAAAAATGAAATACTAAAATTGATACATATTGAGGATCCCATTTCAGATGTATAATGGATTCATTCTGATCCAACGGTGGTTTGTTGGGCGTCTGTAAACTTGATGCTTGCGGGTATACAAGTGTGAGGATGAACTCACCTCCTGAACATCTTTTTGTGGTGAGTTAATGATCCATGCTACATTATAAGATTATAAGAAAAGGCAGCCCGGTGCATGAAGGCATCCCCACAAGGCGAGGGTCCGGGGAAGGGTCCAACCAGAAGGGTGTGTAAGGAGCAAGCCTCAAACTTTTGACAAGAGGCCGCTCCCAAGACTTGAACCTATGACCTCTCGGTCACACAGCAACACCTTAACCGGTGCGGCCAGGCTCCCCTACAATATAAGATTATAGAAAGGATAAAAAAATCAATCAAGTCTATGATTGAGGAGAGCGATATGGCTGACGGATTCGCTCAAATATGATTGATTCATTTTATTTTTATTTGATTTTGATACCTTCATTAGATTTTCTATATTAGGAAGTGATTTGGTAGGATTTCTTTATTTCCTTATTTTTGGTAATTATATGCAGAGTTCGGTAGATTTTCTTTTCTTTTATCGTTTATCTTCATTATCTTTTTATGTTCTTATGTTATTTTTATGTTCTATCTTTTTATGCTCTTATCTTTTTATCTTTTATCTTTTTTATATTCGTATGTTATTGGTATCTTTTTCCATCATTTGCAATGGAGCCAAAGATTCATTATTTTTTGGCTTTGTTATGGAGCAGCAGTCAGTCCATGCAATTTTGGACGCGATTTTCACTATGGGTCATCCAGAAACAGTCTCTCTGTGCTTTAGTACAGGGGTAAGACTGCGTACATCCGATCCCCCCTTACCCCACCGTAGGTGGGAGCCTTTGCAGCACTGGGGTAAATGAAAATGATGATGAAAAATGATGTTATTGGTATCTAATATTTTTCTTTATCATACCATTTTATCTTACATTCTTACTTTTTTAGCACTGATATCATGGATCGATTCATGTTAGCCGACCCCAAATTCTTTTGGGATTAAGGCTTGGATGTTGTTGTCGTATATGCATAGAGTTTGGACTATGGATCATCCGGGAATAGTCTCTCTGTGCTTTAGTACAGGGGTAAGGTTGCGTACATCATGGGTTATCTACTCGGCGAGTACTCGGTGAGTACTCGCAACTCGGGCCCTTTCCCTGTCGATTAGCAACTTAACTCGGTCCGAGTTAATCTTCCGAGTAACTCGCCGAGTACTCGGCGAGTTTTGCAACTCGGTCAACATCTCAAATCGGCGAGTAACTCGGTATTACTCGGTCTTTTTAAAATTGAAGCACTACGGTTAGAAATCCTAAATTAAAACCTAAATTTAACGGAGTTCCAAGTCCCTGACTGCAACATCAGCTCTCTTGGAGGTGGCGACATCTGCTATCCCTTCAAGCTGCGACTGCGACATCGGCTGTCGCTTAGAGGCTTGGAGCTGCGACTGCGACATCGGCTAATAACTCTTCTTTCTCTCGTATCTTCCCCTCTTTACCTCTCGTTTCTTCTTCTTCCCCTCTCTCTTAGTCGCGTATGTTCTTGCCTTCTAGGATAGTTTTGGTTCTTGTATTCCGTAAGCTTTCATTCTTGGATAAATAGTCTAGTAGACATCCTGCTTTATAGTATTCCGTGCATGACTTCTTGGACTAAACTGATAAATACTTCTGACTAAAAATATAAGTAGTCTAGTAGACATCCTGCTTTATGTTGGATTATTGCCCTCCTACTCCCTATAAATTCAATTCCAACAATAGACATTAAATTTTGATCACTTATAAAATTTAAATCCAGCAGAATAAAATTTAAATTTTGAAAACTTAGAATGTTTATGACTTTTACTACTCCATCATTAGGATAATAGGATTTCTATCTTTTTATTCATTTCTATGCTTTTTAAAACAATTTTAAGACTATTTTAAGACTAGTATATTTCTATAATATCTAGCAACTATATTATTAAATTTAATTAATACAGGGGCGAGTTATCACTGAGTAATCCCGAATAATCGATCCTACTCACTACTCGGCTCTTGACCGAGTTACTACCGAGTAGCGAGTTAACTACCTAGCCTACATCCGACCCCCTACTCCACCGTGGGTGAGAGTCTTTGCAGCACTGGGGTAATGATGATGGTGATGATGATATGCATAGAGTTTGGATCAAATAAAAAAAGGTCTTAATGTGTAAAACAAGAATTAATCTTAGGCGTTTAAAGAGTCAATCTAATGCACAATAAACCTTATCTGATGCACTTTTCCAATATTTACGAAAATGTCACTTCGTCTAGATGTTGAAAAATCGCATCAGATAAGTTTTATTCGAAAAGTGCATTAGATAAGGGTTAGGCAAATATAAAAATGAGCAAATGTGCAGTTTGACAGCTTGGACGGCTGAGATTAATTCCTATTTTACACGTTAAGACTCCTTTTTATTTGAACCCTCCTCTATATGCATAAACCCAACATACCCAATATGTCTCACTTATTAAGACTTGGATTACACCCTAAAAGATCAATCTCATATGAGGAGTAATTCAAAGCTTTGTATGTTGGTTTGTATCGGTATATGTGGCTAGTGTAGGATGAACCTTATAAGAGGATGAGCTCAAAGCTTTGTGCCTTTGTATGATGGTTTGTATCATTATACGTGGACAGTGTGGGATGACTTAACATGCCCCGCATAATCATGGCTCATTAGAGCAAACCAATCTTGTAGTTCGTGTGCTCATTGAATAGTCTTAGTCCGATTGATCGTTCATTTGAGCTTAATTAACTCATACTATGTATCACATTAAGACTCGAGTTTCATCCTGATATGAGGAATAGTTGTTTGTATCTTTATACATGGCCGTTGTGGAATTTCCTTAACACCACTCATAAGTAGGGTCCTACTGTCCTAGGAGCCTAGGAGGGTGGGATGTATGCAAAACTTACCTCTACGTAGTACATATAGCTATTTTTGTGCATGTAAATCCCTATTGAAAAGGGATCGTGGGTTTCTATTTTAATAAGAAAGAGAGAAGAAGGAAAACTGCCCAAATTCAAAAGGAGAATATCAATTAAATTGTGCCAATGAGGTGAAGAATCCTGGTACATAACAATTAGAGCTGGTTTAAAATCAGACATCTGCTAAGATATTTAAATAAATATAAAATCTTTAAAAGTTTGTTAGAGATATCCAGAAATTCAATAAAATCACATAAAGAGATCAAGAACAACTCTGCAGTCTTTATTGATTAAGAACAAGAAACTATGGCCGAAGCCCCCAATTGACCGAAGTCCCCAAAAGAAAGAGAGAATCTCAGTCTTCCCAAGTCCCAAGACACAAGTCTAAAAACAGCCTACTTTTTATTGCCCACTCCCCTTCTATTTATACTACTCTATCTATTACATTTCTTATTTACTCTTATTCTACCGGGTCCCTAACAAAGTTCTAATGAAACCCCAACTTGGCAATTTTTCTATGCAGAACCAGTAGTCCTGTCATCATCATCATCATTACCTCAGTGCCGCAAAGGCTCCCACCTGATAGGAATATGGCTTGATAGGCTAATACTAAGAAATAATAATAATAGTAAGGGTACATTTAGTAGTATAAATAGTAGGGGAAGGGGAGGCATAAGGGATCTAATAATAAGTAACTAGTGGGCTGTTATTTTGATATTGAGTGTTGCCTTGGAGAGTGGTCTTCTCGAACAGACTGGTTGCCTTGTTGCCTACGATTTACCCTCTATTATCAATACACACTTCTATCGTTACCATTTGATCAGATCGGTGTATCAGTTTACTGTTTTAGTTTTCCTTTTGTGGCTGTGCTTATCAATGGTATCAGAGCAGTTGCTCCTGGGGATCGAATTGAAGTGCCGACTTATCATTTGAATCGATCGAGAATATTAACTACCCGGAGAAATGGAAGAATTATGTACACCAGAAATGGAAAAGAGGATGGATTCGCTGGAGAGGATCCTTACCGACTTGAAAACGATGGCTGATAACATCGCAACAAGGAACGAACACATCCAGACGAGAAGACGATCATGGTTGCCAACAACCCCTTCTAGTTCGCACTCTTTGTCGCGAACTGTTTCTCACGGTTCATCATCGCAAGTCGTTCCTCGCAGTAGTCTGCAGAAGTATTTGCAGTCGCAGACGTGTACAGTGTCTACAAATTATCTCATAGTTCACAATCGCGATTTTCTTCTTCGCAATCGCGAACTTCATCATCGTCGCCAATAACTAGTCGCAGCGTGAATCCGTCGCGAGCCACTATTTCAACTTCACCCTCGCGAACGGTTTCTCCCAGTTCGCAATCGCCAATACCTTCTACTCGTTTGCAGATTTCATATCAATCGCCAGCATCTTCTTCCACTACGCCAGTCGATTCTCACTTTTCGCCTTCTTCATCATCGTAGACTCTGACGCATGCTATTTCTCAGAGTACGCAGGTTTTGTCACCATAGATTCTCCTGGTTCGCAGCTTAAATCTGTTAATCAACGGCAACCCCAGCTTAAGTCTCATAATTCGTCTCCAGATCCTCCACGGCAGACTTCTGCATTCGTCTATCCTCACAGTTAGCAGACTTCCTCTATCTGTTGTTCTGAGTTCTCAGGATGAGACACATTCGGCTTCTCCCAGTACGCCAGCGTCTTTTCGAATCGCTTCTTGTAGAAAAATGTAGCATATACATGTTATTTTATTATGTGTACATCCGGAACTGTATAGATAGGAATTAGAGTTGATTTAGGTCTCTAATTCTTAGATTAGCTCGCAGTGTAGATAAGAATAGATAGATCCTAATATTTAGGATCTGTAACAACTTTAGTTTATCTGTAAACTTGTATATATATCATTGCCGGATGGCTCAATAATATACAAGGAAGATTAATTCTTCAAACCTACATGGTATCAGAGCTT